TTCTGCCCCCACTCTGGCAGGTCGTCCATATAACACCTCATAAGGGCTGAGGTGTACTGGGGGTTTGGTCCGTGTGCGCACATACATCAGCACGAGGGGAAGTGCTTTTGGCCACGTGAGGCCAGTTTCTTCACAGCACTTCACCAGCTTGGACTTTAAGGAGCCATTCATTCTCTCCACCGCACCTCCAGATTGTGGGTGATATGCACAGTGTGTTTGCGATTTGAAACCTAGTTGCTTGCTGATTTCCTTCAATGTCTGGTTCAAAGTGAGTGCCATTATCACTTGTGATTTTCCCTGGGATATCCCACTCTGGAATGATTTCTGACAGGAGGGCTTTTGCCACTGCACTGCTGTCTGCACTTTTAGTGGGGAATGCTTCTACCCACGAGAACATGTCCACTACTACCAGACAATACTTCTTTCCCTCGGCTGGTGTCAATTCAATGAAATCCATCATTAGATGGTCAAAAGGCATATCTGGGGGGGGGGGTTGCAGTGTTTACCTGTGAGACCCACATTGTCGGTCTCACAAATGAGACACCTTTTGCAATACCTCTCAGCTGCTGTGGAAAACCCTTTGGTGAACCATAGCGATGTTAGTGCTTGTAGCATCCCCTCTTTAGACACATGGTCTAACCCATGTGCCCATTTTAGAAACCATGGGAAGAAGTGTTTAGGCAGACATGGGCGGCCATCAGGGGAGCGCCAGACAGATTCGACCAGTGTGCAGCCATGTTTGCGCCAGATTTCTCTGGCTGGGAGGCAAATGACTGTACAGCAGGAAGATCAGCGAGTCTAGGTGTGGGCAGCGGTGCCAAGACAAGTTGGAAGGGTAGGCCTCCTTCGGCGGCTGCTTTGGCGGCTGCATCGGTGGCAGCATTTCCTCGGGAGACAGAATCAGTTTTACCTGCACACTTCAGTACAGCAATGCGAGCAGGTAGGAGGATGGCGTCCAGCAGTGCTGCTACCTGGTTAGCATTCAGGATGGGCTTCCCATCAGATTTCAGGAACTTTCTGTGTCTCCACAAGGCGCCAAAATCATGTACCACACTAAACGCGTAGCGAGAGTCAGTGTAGATGGTGGCCGACTCACCCTCCGCAAGTTTACAGGCTTCTGTGAGCACCACAAGTTCCGCAGTCTGTGCTGAGAATTGTCTGGGCAATGAACCTGAAACGAGAGTAGTATGATCAGAACACACAGCAAAACCCACCCGGTTAGTTCCACATGAATCGCGTGAGGAGGAGCCATCTACATATAACACAATGTCAGAGTTCTCGATGGGAACATCTAACAGGTCAATCCGAGGTGTACAAGTTTCACCCAATACAGCAGTGCAGCTGTGTGGCTCACAATCCTCTCGCGTGGGGAGAAGAGTGGCTGGGTTAGGTGTGCATCGTTTCACTGTGATGGTGGGCATGTCAAGCAGTATGGAAGAGTACTTGAGCCAGTGAGCTGCAGAAAGGTGTGAAGTTTTCTGCTCCAGCAAAATAACATAAACTGCATGGGGTACCTGCACTGTCAGAGGAGAGTACCCTACGATGTCACGTGAGGGGAGAACGGCCTTTTCACACGCAGCTACTGCTCGCAGGCATGCAGGCAGGCCCGCAGCCACTGGGTCAAGCTTCGAAGAGTAATAACCCACCGGGGAAGTGAATCACCATGGTGCTGTAAAAGAACAGAAGACATGAAACCATTCTTTTCATCCACCATTTGTGTATATAGTTTGGATGGGTCTGGGAGCGCTAAAACAGGCGCGGTTTGCAGCAGCTTCTTCAAGGTAGTGAAAGCAGCTTCAGCCTCCGGTGTCCTAGAAATGTGATCATTGGCTGACAGGCTTGTAACATGTATGAGTGCAGTAAGCTTC